CTGTGCCTGAGTCAAGGTGAAGGGAGGAACAGGTATACCTCTAGAGCAGTTCAGATTGATGGTCCAGCAGCAAAGCCGGGAACAAATGGAGCAGCAAGGCCAGTCGGATCAACTGCTTGACAAACTGCATCAACAGTAGACAGAGACAGTGGCTCGATAAAGTAGAGCAGCTGCAAGCAGAATATGGGAGAAGCTTCCTTGGAGAAAAAACTCAGAGCCCTGCCTGATGAGATGCTACACGGGGCCTAAAGTGATCCAGGACCCAGGTGTAAGGCAGCCAGATAGAAGGGATGGCTGAAGGGATCCAGGATGTAGGTGGACAGCTGAAGGGCTGGGACTGCGAAGAAATGCAGCCAGTAGCTGAAGGCAAGGGGGAAGATGACACCTTGGAGAAAAGTGAACTGGCTGGAGCTGAGGATCTGCTTCTGAGTGATTTCTCCACCAGGTCCCTGGAAGCCTGCTGTGGAAGAGGGAGTGCAGGATGAAAGGCCAGTGAAGGAGGAGGAGAGCCAACTGCAATGACTTTAACTTAGTGGCACATTGGATAAAGTAAAGGTAAAGGGACCCCTGACCATTAGGTCCAGTCATGGCTGACTCTGGGATTGCAGCGCACATCTCGCTTTACTGGCCGAGGGAGCCAGCGTACAACTTCCGAGTTATGTGGCCAGCATGACTAAGCCGCTTCTGGCGAACCAGAGCAGCTCACGGAAACGCTGTTTACCTTCCCGCCGTTTACCTTCCTACCTATGTATCTACTTGCACTTTGATGTGCTTTCAAACTGCTAGGTTGGCAGGAGCAGGGACCGAACAACGGGAGCTCACCCTGTTGCGGGCATTCGAACCGCCGACCTTCTGATCAGCAAGCCCTAGGCTCTGTGGTTTAACCCACAGTGCCACCCGCATCCCAGGCACATTGGATACAACCCAATATTTTGCGTGTATACTGGGGAGAGGCGAACGTTGGTACTTACCGTGATAAGTTCCTTCTCTGTAGGGAGAAGTATGATCCTGTGTGGGTTGTCACTGCCCATCTTACCACTGGCAGGAAGCAACTGGTTTGTTTGTTTGTTTGTTTGTTTGTTTGTTTGTGGGGGCTTTTAGAGTATACCCGGGGCAGGGACAACCACTTTATCTCCAGTTCAATTTGTGCTTAAGCAGGTAACTGCATAGTCAGGAATAAACAACTAACAGACTAAAAAAGAAGGAAACCAAATAGTTAGCAGGAAATTCAGCAGTCCCAGTGGGACATGCCTCTCTGTTCCCTGGACTCCTGTCCCAAGTTTGCCAGGTAGATAGGGCAGGTGAGGAGGAGAAGGGGGATACCGTTGCTGCCCCTGGTATGTGCTAAAGAGCAAGAGGGATGGAGAGATAGGAAGCCCCTGAACATTGTGGGGAGGTACGTCTGGCCCCCTGGGCAACCCTCCATGCTCTGTGTCTGATGACCTCTCCCATGTACACAGCAGTACCTGGGAGGGCCAGATCATATTTCTCCCTACAGAGAAGGAACTTATCATGGTAAGTACCAACGTTCGCTTCTCCTATAGGAAGGGAAATACGATCCTGTGTGGGATGTATCTCAGCAGTTCCCAAATCAGATGGGAGCCGCTGTGGGCCCTACCTCTTTGGTGTTAAACACATGTTGAACCACTTGTGTCCCTATCAAATAATGAAGGCATACAATTTGGATAAAAAAATTGGATTCCAGGTGGAAAAATCAAAATTGGAAACAGAACTGTTAGATCCCAAAACTAAGACTTTGTCAAGGATGTATAACTTGCTGTTGAAATGGAACACTCAGGATGAAACGGTGAAATCTGCTATGATTAAATGGGCACAAGATGTTGGACATAACATTATGTTTGCTGGCTGGGAACAGTTATGGACCACAGGTATGAAGTTTACGGCATGCAATGCCTTAAGAGAGAACATTATGAAAATGATATATAGGTGGTACATGACTCCAGTCAAGCTTGCAAAAATCTATCATTTGCCCGATAATAAATGTTGGAAATGTAAAGAAGCTGAAGGTACATTCTTTCACCTTTGGTGGACGTGCCCAAGGATTAAGGCTTTCTGGGAGATGATATATAATGAAATGAAAAAGGTATTTAAATATACCTTCCTGAAGAAACCAGAGGCCTTTCTTCTGGGCATTGTCGGCCAATCGGTGCCAAAGAAGGATAGAACTTTCTTTATGTATGCTACGACAGCAGCAAGAATACTTATTGCAAAGTATTGGAAGACACAAGATCTACCCACTCTGGAAGAATGGCAGATGAAGGTGATGGACTACATGGAACTGGCAGAAATGACCGGCAGAATCCGAGACCAGGGAGAAGAGTCGGTGGAAGAAGATTGGAAGAAATTTAAAGACTATTTACAGAAATATTGTAAAATTAATGAATGTTAAAATGATGTTGGATGGGAAGTTATATGGTTTTTAGCTATAACGCTATAAGGAGTATGAAAAAAATGGGCTATTAACAGTCAAAAATTCAATGTTACATTATTTTTTTTAAGATTAAAGAGTAGGATAAACAAAGAGGGGAAGGATTTGCTGAACTAACAAATTGAACTGGAATACAAAAAGGGAGGTGTGAGGAGGTCCGGGAAATAAGCAAATGAAAGAAAGTGATGGAAAGATGGAATTGTTTTTTATCTATTTTTACTTTGTATTTTTCTTTTTTCTTTTTGTAAAATTCTAATAAATATCTTTTTTTAAAAAATGAACCACTTGTCTCCCAAGGAGACCTCCGCTGAGGCGTAAATATCTAGCTTGTAATGACTTATGAAGGTGGAAGGCGAAGGTCAAATGGCTGCCCTGTATACGTCACACAGGTGTCACACATCTAAACCCTACCAGGGGTTGTGAGTCAGGTTGCAGCACCTTGTGTAATGTTTGTCTCCATTTGCTGATTCAAGGCAGGAGTTTATTGTAAATGGGCTTTATTCTTCTGGGTTGTTCTATTTCAAAATTCAAATTCAAAATTTTACCTTCTGTAAGCCTCCCAGGAAAAGCTGCATAGGAATATTGGGTGCTGTCCAATGCACTCCTTCTGCTAGCGCAATGATTTATGCTTGTGCAATGGAACATTTCCCCCTTTCCTACACCCCCCTACCATGTGCACTCTGTGCCTTCCCCTGTTTGCTCAGGCAGGTTGCAGGGAAACCCCAGAACAGATTTAGGGGGCCTGCAGGAGGGGTGGGGAGGAAAGGAACCCATTGCACTAACAGAATGAGTGACTTAGTGCTGCTTTGGATAGAGGTCATACACTTATTTATTTATTTTTAAATGAGAGTGCAATGAACTTTTCCACATATGTGGTGGGGATGTAAGAATATTCAGAAGTTCTGGAAGCAAAAGTTCTCTGCCATGGAGATTGACATTATTGTTGGCAAACAGGTCACCTTGGATGCTAAATTGTGTCTCTCATCCATCTTGAATGGAGCTGAAGCTGGCCTTGTTGTTTAGTCGTTTAGTCCTGTCCGACTCTTTGTGACCCCCTGGACCAGAGCACACCAGGCCCTCCTGTCTTCCACTGCCTCCCTCAGTTTGGTCAGACTCATGTTTGTAGCTTCGAGAACACTGTCCAACCATCTCGTCCTCTGTCATCCCCTTCTCCTTCTGCCCTCCATCTTTCCCAACATCAGGGTCTTTTCCAGGGAGTCTTCTCTTCTCATGAGGTGGCCAAAGTATTGGAGCCTCAGCTTCAGGATCTGTCCTTCCAGTGAGCACTCAGGGCTGCTTTCCTTAAGAATAGAGAGGTTTGATCTTCTTGCAGTCCATGGGACTCTCAAGAGTCTCCTCCAGCACCAGAATCCAAAAGCATCAATTCTTTGGCGATCAGCCTTCTTTATGGTCCAGCTTTCACTTCCATACATCACTACTGGGAAAACTATAGCTTTAACTATACGGACCTTTGTTGGCAAGGTGATGTCTCTGCTTTTTAAGATGCTGTCTAGGTTTGTCTGTTGCTGTTACTCCTCAACAAATAATTCTATACTTGCTGGTTGCTGCTCATCTAGGGATCTCTGGAGGAAGGACGCATCCTGTTACTCTCTGGATTGAGGGTTTTAGGAAATCCTACTTATTACCATTTCCAAAAAACTGACTTATAAACTATGTGTTGCCAGGGATGAGGTGGCCCCTCCAGCTTCTGCTTGGGGTGATTTGTGATTGATATGACCAAACACTCTTATAGTTGGCACATTCCTACTAAAAGAGTTTATTTGGCAACATTTGTGATTATTTAATAAGTTACATATAAATATGAACCTTGTACCCCACCATGGAATATATTTTATGCTACTTTTTTAAAGCTTTCTACGGGGGTGGCGCTGTGGTCTAAACCACTGAGCCTAGGACTTGCTGATCAGAAGGTCGGCAGTTCGAATCCCCGCGACGGGGTGAGCTCCCGTTGCTCGGTCCCTGCTCCTGCCAACCTAGCAGTTTGAAAGCACGTCAAATTGCAAGTAGATAAATAGGTACCGCTCCGGTGGGAAGGTAAATGGCGTTTCCGTGCGCTGCTCTGGTTCGCCAGAAGCAGCTTAGTCATGCTGGCCACATGCTGGCCGGCTCCCTCGGCCAGTAAAGTGAGATGAGCGCCGCAACCCCAAAGTCATTCGCGACTGGACCTAACGGCCAGGGGTCCCTTTACCTTTATGATTTTTATTCTGCTATTTTGTATTGCTCTTTTGACTGTTTTTATTCTTTTTTTTTTTAACTTGATGTTTTGTTTGCTTGCTTTTGTTTACTGCATTTGCAAATCTCATTAAATAAAAACGAGTGTCTCTAAACCTGCATGACTACCTCTCGACATCTTTGTGGTGCAGGGCGTTCCTGGAGAACCAGGAGCAATATCTGTTCAGAACCCAGATTCCCCTGACCTGCATTCTTCATATCCACACCATGCTCAGTGGATTTGATTTTATAACCATTTTCTTCTGTGAGGATTGTCCTTGGATGAAAATAATAGGGGAAACTATATTGTGTTTTCCAGAGTTCCTTCATTGCTCCTGAACACAAGAGCTCCTTGTTTGACCTAAAACAGGTGAGTGTGGCTCAAGCCACCGTCGTGTTGTCTGATTTCATGATCAAAAGCATGGTTTGCTCTTGAGGGATGTGTCCCCTTGACTGTCTACAGTGCTGTTTGGCCAGGCCACCTCTCAGGGTATCAATGCTGCTCTCTGTTTTCACAGCACCATCAATATATTTTATTTTATTATGTCATAAGATTTATACACAGCTTGGTTGTTGTTGTTTTAAAAAAGCAAAGCAGCTTACAAAAAGACAAAACAAGAAAATCAATAAAATTGTGCGTTACAACATACAAAAGTTAAAATACGAAACAGATTAAAGTTACCTCCACATTCTATAAATCTGTTTTTAAGCAAGCACCAAAAAGAGCACAGCAAAGGCAACCTGCTTGATATCAATCGGCAGGGAGTTCCAAAGTACAGGCGCTGCAGAAAGGGTATTGTGTGGCCCATGTAGCAGTGCCAATTCCAGCAATGGAAGTATAGACGGACAGGTCCCTGCTCCAAGGCTCAAAGAGGAAGCCACTCTCTTGCTTTGCCACTGATCACTAATGATGCTAATTCATTAGGGTTTTAAGTATTAAACATCTATGGCCACATCCCCACTTGTCTGTTTGGCTGAGGTGAAGCATATTCTTAACATAGATACAGATTTGCTGCTTCTTTTTTGCAAGTGTTTTTGGAGTTACTTCTCTAAAAAATTATAATAACTTTGGCTTGCCCGTATTTACTGACTTATTACAGTAAGCCCACAACACTCACAGGGGTTACATTCCAGGGATCATACCCAAAGCCAAAATTGCAGTTGTATAGTTAAAAACACATTGGGTTGAATGACAGGTGGGATTGCCAAAGTCTTTTCCCCCAGATGCTTGACCCCTTTCTGCCCCACCCTTAAAAAAATTATTTTGCCAAGCATGTAAAACTGAATATGCGCAGGCTTAAAGTACTTACTAATTATTTATATATTACATTTATGTCTCACTTTTTCCTCCAAGGAACTCAGGGTGCAATACGTGGTTCTCCTCCTAATTGTACCCTCACAGTAGACCCGCTAGGTAGGTTAGGATGAGAGCAAGTGACTGGCGCCCAATATCACACCCAAAGAGCTCAATGGCTGAGAGGGCGGGAATTCAAACTCTAGTCTCCCAGGGCCTAGTCCAGGGGTCTGCAACCCGCGGCTCTGGAGCCACATGTGGCTCTTTTACACCTTTGCCGCGGCTCCGGGGCAGATACTAGCGAGGGGAGGAGGCGCATTGTGCGCCCCGACACTCCCCACTGTGGCAGGCGCTGTACTGGCTGTGACGTCGCATGGGGGCGGTGCACGCGTTAGTCACGCACCGTCCCGACGTCACCTTCCCGCCCGCCCGCTACATTGTAAGGGGCATGTACACTGGTCACTGCATTGAAAGGGGGCATGTACGCTGGTCACTGTTTTGAAGGGGAGTGAAGAACACACACACACACACAAAGGTAACTTGTTAATTTAACGTTTATTTATATGAGGAGGAGTAATTATGAGGGGTCAAACAAAGAAATAATAAAAAAGTGACAAAAAAGTTATTTTTATAATGACGGGTTTTGCAGCTCCCAGTTTTTTTCCTTCGGAAACGGGTCCAAGTGGCTCTTTTTGTCTTAAAGGTTGCAGACCCCTGGCCTAGTCTGACACTCTAACCACGGCACCACCACTGGCCTGTTGTCTGCGTGAAGTACTCTTCCCGTACTTTGTGAGACTAAAGCACATTTCTGTGAAATCTTACAATGCGCAAACAGGGTGAAGGAGCAGGTCCCCAGCTGACAGGATGACAGAGTTGATGAGCAACAAAGTACTGTATTTTTCGCTCCATAAGACGCACCAGACCATAAGACGCACCTAGTTTTTGGAGGAGGAAAACAAGAAAAAAATTATTCTGAATCCCAGAAGCCAGAACAGCAAGAGGGATCGCTGCGCAGCGAAAGCAGCGATCCCTCTTGCTGTTCTGGCTTCTGGGATAGCTGCGCAGCCTGCATTCGCTCCATAAGACACACACACATTTCCCCTTACTTTTTAGGAGGGAAAAAGTGAGTCTTATAGAGCAAAAAATACGGTATATCTCTGCCTCTGTCTCTCTCCTCTGTGCCCTGTCTCTGAGGGTCTGGACAAGGGGCTAAATTATGCACCCAGCAGTGTGCCCCCTTGACCTTAATTGGTCCCACTTGACCTATTAAATCCAGCAGAGAGCCAGGGGTGGTGTCGCGGACAGAGTGATGGACTATGAGCTGAGAGAGACAGGGTTCAAGTCCCCGCTCCACCAGGAAGCTCACTGGCTGCGACCTCAGGGGCTGGTCACTCTTGCCCTTCAGCCTGGGCTACCTCACAGGATTGTTGTGGGATTCAATGAGGAGGTGGGAGAACCACGTATGCCACCTTGAGCTCCGTGGAGGGAAAGGTGGGATATAAATGCAATAAATAAATGAAATAGATAGCAGAGGAAATGCAACTGGTTGGGTCTAAAGCAGGGGTAGGCAACCTAAGGCCCAGGGGCCAGATCCGGCCCAATCGCCTTCTAAATCTGGCCCGTGGACGGTCCAGGAATCAGCGTGTTTTTACATGAGTAGAATGTGTGCTTTTGTTTAAAATGCATCTCTGGGTTATTTGTGGGGCATAGGAATTCGTTCATTCTCCCCCCCCCCAAAAAAAATATATAGTCCAGCCCCCCACAAGGTCTGAGGGACGGTGGACCGGCCCATGGCTGAAAAAGGTTGCTGATCCCTGGTCTAAAGCATGTGGCAGGATAGTGCCCGCCTGCACCCAGTGGCGGAGCTTTATGCTCCAGCACCAGGGGGGTGGGGTGGCAGAGAGCAGACAGGAGTGGGGCTGGTACGCATCCTGGGGGCGGGGGGCGTCGCCTGCAGGGGCATGGTGCCCAAACGCAGGCGGGGGGCAGCCACGATGGCACCCTCCCGGGATCACACTACCAGGGGCGGTGTGCTTCCCCCGCACTCCTCTTCCTCCGCCAGTGACTCCACCCCCCTCTGACTCGCTGTCTTGATAGCCAATCGGAGAAAGGCTCCAGCCCCCTTGGGGCAATTTCTGAGGGGCTGCATCACCAGTGTGGTGTAGTGGTTAAGAGCGATAGACTCGTAATCTGGGGAACTGGGTTCGCTTCCCCGCTCCTCCACATGCAGCTGCTGGGTGACCTTGGGCCAGTCCCACTTCTCTGAAGTCTCTCAGCCCCACTCACCTCACAGAGTGTTTGTTGTGGGGGAGGAAGGGAAAGGAGAATGTTAGCCGCTTGGAGACTTCTTCGGGTAGTGATAAAGCGGGATATCAAATCCAAACTCCTCTTCTTCTTCTTGTTCTACAGACTTGTCCATCACAGCCATAAAGCGCACTGGGTGTGACTTTGGGCAAACCAATGCCTCTCAACCTAGCTTAACTCACAGGGTTGTTGTGGGGGCTCATTGAGGAAGTGGGGAGAAGCATGCTCACCGCCTTGAGCATCTTGGATAGAAATGCCACAAATAAATAAAAAATAAAACATGCCTTGAAGGCTGTCACTTCCCCAAGGAAGAACCACCATAGCTCAGTGGCAGAGCATGTGCTGAACAGGTTCAGTCTCTACTACAGTAGTACCTCGGGTTAAGAACTTAATTCGTTCCGGAGGTCTGTTCTTAACCTGAAACCGTTCTTAACCTGAAGCACCACTTTAGCTAATGGGTCCTCCCGCTGCTGCCGTGCCACTGGCGCACAATTCCTGTTCTCATCCTGAGGTAAAGTTCTTAACCCGACGTACTATTTCTGGGTTAGCGGAGTCTGTAACCTGAAGCGTATGTAACCTGAAGCGTATATAACCTGAGGTACCACTGTAATGGCATCTCCAGGTTGGGCTGAGAGAGACCCCTGCAAGACTGAAACCCCAGAGAGCCTTTGCTGCGCTTTCCAACAGTGTGGCCAACACTGAGCTAAACAGACAAATGTCCTGATTCGGTGGAAGGCAGCGGCCAACATTCCTTCCCAAAGTAGACACATGCAACTTTACAGGGGAAATGAAAGCAGCAGATCGCCAGCACAAGGTCGTTTTGGCCGCTGAAAGAAGACACAGCGGACGATGCAAACCGTGCCAAATCTCTCCCCCATAGATAGATCCAGGAGGGAAGCAGCAAAACAGACCAAGCTGATGCCCAAGGAGATCTAAGGCGTTCCCAGGAAAGTCATGGGAGGGAGACGTTTAAAAGCTGAGAAGCCTCAGAAGCTAATTGAGCCTTTGAAACATGAGAAGCGGAGTGCATGGCAGAGAAAGGTGCTGAGGCAGCAAAAGGCTCTGGTGTTCAGCATCTAAGCAGCAGGGAGTGAGGGACTGATACCTCTCTCTGTCATCTCTAGAGGAGCCTGGCGCTGAGTCAGAGAGGAGGACAAAGAGAGTTCAGGTTGGGCTCTGGCTGGTGGGGGTGGGGAAACACAATGGGGCTCTGCTACCCATGGAGGCCAGGCCAGTCAGGGGCCACAGCCCCCACCATACAGTCAAAGCCCTGCTGTACCACCAGAGTGGTTTAACTGTCAATCCTTCTTCTTACCAGGGAAGTCTAGGAATTGTAGCTCTGTGAAGGGAATAGGGAGTATCCCATCAACTCTCAGCACCCTGGACCAAATACAGCTCCCAGGATGCTTTGGGGGGAGAGCCATGACTATTCAAAGTTGTCCAGAAGCACTTAAGAACATAAGAAGAGCTTGCTGGATCAGGCCAATGGCCCACCCAGTCCAGCACCCTGTTCTCACAGTGGCCAAGTGTGGGAATGTTCAGGGATGCAGGAGAGGATATATTGTTTGATTATATCCTTTCCAACTTCTGTTAACAAGTTCTACAATTTAGCAGAGTAACATTCCCCTTTTTAAACTTGCACAACGGATGCGTTTGCTCAGGCTCGCTAAAGCCTCTAAAATAAGTTGCCTGGCAATTTCCCCTTTCGTTCCTCATAAAAGAAATACAGTGGTACCTCGGGTTAAGAATTTAATTCGTTCTGGAGGTCCATT